ATTAAATATATTTACTTTTAATTAGTTTATTGATATTAGAAGGTTAAAAATCCTCAACATTTTTGTTTGAGTATGATTCCTGAAAGGGATAGGTATGTGTTAGTCATGTAATAGGATCACAGAATGCTCTAATAAGCATCAGTGTACCACTTCTTGATCCAGAAGATATTTGACACATTTAAAGAAATCAGTGTTATATATACAGCATTGTTTTATACCATTTCTGAAGTTATACCTGTTTTGTCAATCAAACAGAAATACTTAAAGCTGATTTTGCTTGTTGGAGTAGCTAGTGCATGTTTAATTTCTCTCCTCTAGGGGACCTCCAGAAACTATGAGCTAAGTATTTAGAACAACTCAAGGATTGCTTGCTGCTAGAAAACAAAATTTGGCTGAATCTGGAATATTGTCTTCAGTGTCTTTCTAAGAAATATGCATAAATTGTTTAAACCTTTTCCTAAAATATATATTTTTTCTAATACATTTTAGCCTGTTCACTAAAAGAGAATAATGCTAAGTGCATCAGTGCTTGCTATTATAATAGACCTAAAAGTAAACAGGTGCATATATCTTAAAGTGTACCTTTAATATTAATACATATTGTTATATTTATAGCCTGCTGTGCCCCAAATGTTTGAGATGGAAAAGCAATTTCATTTAATTCTCATGAAAACCCATAGTCAGTGAATCTCTGTCTGAATTGATTGTTACTAATCTTCAGATCCATTAACTAGTGACCACATCAAACACAATAGTATTAAGAGGAAGAACAGATTGAGACAAAATAATTGGCTTTTGAATAAAAGTCAAGTGTAATCCTTATGCTTATTGTTTTAGCATTTTAATCTGTAGACAAGATGGATACCAATACCAATAAATATTTGTTATAATCTAGTGCATGGCCTCAAATTCATTTGGAGTTAATAGGTTTTTAGGGTACAACTACAGCTTTGTGCTGGCTAATGAATTTATTCCATGGCTGTTAGCACTATCTAACTTACCTTGGTTATCTTCTGTTATTCATTCTAAAGTTAAAAAAGACTTTGTGTAAACCCTTGTTCCGTCTTGTTTTAATATCACATGTATTCTCCTAAATATATGATATGAAAAACATTTAAAAATAAAGTATTACTTAAGATAGGAGTTTCAGTGTTGTACAGTGATATCTTCAGAGCATGGCTGTGTTCAAACTTTATTATTACTGCTTAGAGATTTTTAATCCTTAGAATATTAATTGCAGTGAAATACATGGTGCTTTGCTCATATTGAACAAAGTCTAAACTATTTAGCCCTCTCATTTTAAAACATTTTCCTTTTTTTGTACAAAAGCTAAGTATCTGCCTCTTCTTATTAAAATTAATTCTTCTGTTCCTTTACTGAGTTTTTCTTGTTGTAAAATGTACTTTCTTATATTTAGTTTTAATAAGCTTGCACATAAGCATCCTGAAGTAAACTTCTGTTGTGTGCTGCTTATATAAACTGCATTTATGCAAAGCTTTGCTCAGTGTAAATGTATGCAGAAAGGGTCATTCCTTGAAATCTTTCTAGAGAGTTGCTCCCATACTATATACATTCTTTGGGAAAGGAGGCCAAACAGTTCATAATTTTATTTTAATTGAAAACATAAATGGGAACTTTCCTTAGTTGTCCTGATGTTTCATATATCTCATTACACTGATTCAATACAAAATGTGAATGATAGAGAAAGAGACAGATGGGGGGAGGCTCTTTGTTTTGAATTACAACAAGTATTTTAAAGTTAGGAACAGTCAATTTGAGGTAACGTTATTGACCAAATATGAAGGGTTTTATCATATTACGCACCCTTCCACAAACTGGTGCCTACCAGTTTCATTGGCCTACAGTTACTCCCTCAAAGCAGCATGGTTAATGGCCACCTTGGCTGGGAATTTGTACTCTAATGCATTTGGTGGGTACCAAGCTGGGAAAGGCTGTACAAGAGCTTTGATTCGTTTACAAATATAAGGTCCAGCCTGAGGCAGAACTATGAATCATAAATGTGAGCCACGAAGAGACTATTTCTAACATTTCCCTACATTTAATTCAATTATCTCATGAATTGAACATAACAGTGGTGAAAACTGGTTCCATCCAGTGATGACCATCCTGACAAGTGGTGTAGAATGTGGGGCACTAGAGGTGGAGCCAAGGGATCAGCAGTAGTAGAGTCAACTGTGCATGCTCCAGAATAAAAACAGAAAAGTTTGCAAGCCCATACACTATAGGGTCTTCACAACACTACCTGATAAAGCATAAACAGCAGAGAATATGTAAAAGGCAGAATAGTCAGCCAGCTGTGTAGCATTTTTCCCCCAGAATGAGAATTCAGTATCTCAGAAACAACAGCTTAGGTGAGGATGAAACACCATTGTTTTCTGTAGGTCGGGGAATCACTTAAAATCTTTTTAGAGCACAATGTTATGCATGTTTAAATAGCAATAAAAACTAGAGTTACAGTATTTGCCAACCAGTGATGCTATCTTAATGTGCATAGGATTGCACCCTTAATTTATTTCATAGCAGTAGAATGAAAACATTAAGATAGATTTAAAGTGATTTCTATCTTTTTCCTTGAACCACAGACACATGAATGATCTTTAAAACAAAGTATTCATTCTTTTTCCTTTCTGTGTCTCTCAAGAAAATGTTGAAACAAGGGCGCATCCCTTGCCTACTTTTAAGTAAACAAAATCAACTCAGTTGGGAAAAAATAGGGCATCCATATAATTTTCCATGAAATCACAAACTCAGCTAAATGGTCAAAGAGAGCAGTAATTTTCCTCCATGCACTCAAAGACCCATTTTTAAATGAGATTTTTCTGGAACATCTGACCACCAAAGCATGTGTGCACCCCCCCCCCCAAAAAAAAAACCTCTCATCAACCTCACTGCAAGCAGAGATGGGGGATAAAAGGAACCACACTATTAATAGGAAAGGGGGTTTCAAGAATTATCTTTAAAAGACAAACAGTAATAAAGTTGCTTATCCCACTCCCTAATGACAAGAAAATAATTTATTAGATATGGTTAGATTCACTGTTGGACTGTTCAGGCTGACTGGATTACTTTCTCAGTAAATGGAAAGAAGGTTCTAACAAGCCTTGAAAACCTAGTCCACGAATCTCCAGGTGGGGCTGAGCAATGAATTAAAAGTACTTAAATAGCCTCACGGCTGACACAAAACTTTTTTTTTTTTAGTGAGGGTGGTTGGCTCCTGCTTGGCCCCACCCCTATTTAAACATTTCATGGTCGGTGTGAGCCCTCCTGCCACTTGTTCTACAGTTTAATTCTGATTGACTAGACTGTGAGGTTTCTGTCCCTCCATCCGTTTAAGAATTGCCTAAGTATTAGAAGAATCAGCTTCTGAGGTCAGGACTCCTGCATTTCCCCCAGCTGCAGGGGACACTGTATGCCTGCATGGTAGGCACACACATACATACACCCCTACAACTCAACACAGTAAAGCTCACATTGCAATATTCAGCAGTGGGCAGCAACTTAATGAACTAGAAATAGTGGGATGCTGATGATGGCATGTATGAGATAGTGGGCATATATCCACACCAGTTTTTCTTTGTAAAGATTCTTTGTTATTCTCACTGCCCCTGAATCTACATCATAATTCATCCATAGTATCATTCTGGAACAACATGTATCTGTGACACTTTCTAGTAAAAGATTTTCATATGCTTATGTCTGGAATATTTTCACTCTAAAACCACAAATGCAAAACATTATAGTGGAACAGGCCCTGTTTTTCCTTATAAAGGAATTCTCTTATGACTACAAATGTTACCTTGAGTAGTAAGTGGGAAAATAACCATAATGTGTTTATTTTGATAAAAGGAATTTGTATATTTTGGCTGTTGGGGCATAGTAAGTTAATCAACTGAGTTTGCATTAGGATATTCAGGTTGAAAATTCAGTAAAGCCTGAAGCTTGCTAGTTAATCTTAAACAGGTTTTTCTCAGCCTGTCAAAGTTACTATGAGAGAACTGGATTTGAAGCATTGCATTGAGGGTGAAATTATGTGACAAATTTGAATCAGACTGAAATTTTCACTTAAGTTATTACAGAGTGTTCTTTATTCTTGAGTTAGGGAACAATCCAATGATCCCTGGGCAAGCATCCCAAGGATCACAGAACGGCTTTGGAACCCCTTCAAGTTTAGAGACAGCACTCAGCTCTCCCATTCCCCATCCCTTCACAGCTAGTGCAGGAAGAACCATGTTTGATTCCCTCCAAAGGTCATAGCAGTAACCTTGGAGGAGGAGGAAAGAGGGCATTCCAGTGCATATGACAGAGTAGACTGAAGAGGACAGGATACAATTTATGCCAAACCTTTTCTAGCCTCCCTCCTCAGAAGAGCTGTCTAGTGAAACTCTGGGAGATTGAACCTGGCAGAGCATAGGAATCTTAGAAGCGCCCAAGTTCAGGAGCTTCCAAGCAGAAAGGATGCAGTCCACAGGAAAGTGCTTTCAGTTAACCTAATTTTGTTCCAAGCACTTTTGTAATTGTATCCTTCCCCTTTCTTTTAGCAAGGACAGTGATAACATCACATGTGCATTGAAAATTTACATTATTAAAGTTTTGTGACAGGAATGGGATATATGTATGATAATGTAATTCAACATTTACTTCAGAACTTAATAGGTTGAAACTTGCTACCTCAACTAAAACAATTATATTATCCAAGTTCTAGAAAGCACATGCCCCAACAAGAAATCCTGTGACCATCACATCCCTTCTAAAAGTTTAAACATGTCTGACACATTTTAAACATTTGTGCTGTAATATCATATAAAGCTAGGTGTTCAATAAAAGTGGGAGCAGTCAACATAAAACATTTTGCATGTGGTCAGATGGTCTTAATTGCTGTGCTAGAATAGTGAAGGAAAGGTATTGACTTTTATCCATACTTTCTGTGCAGAATGCAGTTCATGTTCACAGAGTGGGGCTTTTTCCCCTTCCCTTTGCAGCCCCCTTCAGCCCCTGAAAATCTGTTCTTGAAGACTGGAGAACCCTTGGGAATAATGTGAGATATGGTGCAGGAAACTGCAGATGGATTGAGGAAATGGTAAAAGTGTCCCCTTCTGTGAACTGAAGAGCAATGTAACATCCAGTAAATAAGGTACTACCACAGCAAAACCTAATCTCTGTTCTAAATGGCAAACTTTTAACTTTACAACTTTTCGGAGGAGGAAATTCTGTTTAAGGTTAGCATTCCATTAAAAACATTTGCCATGGATGCGCTTGTCTAAAGAGGAAAATCTTTACTAATTTACTAATATTACTACCTAAAATGCAGTTTTGTGAACAGTATCTTAGCAATATCCTTCTTTCATATCTGTTTTATTTTTTTCTGAAAAACAAGGAGTTCAACTTGTAAAAAAGTTATATTAAGACAACTTGTTCTTTATTCAAAGTCTAGAAACATTGCAACACTTGAAAAGGCTTTATATAATCACCATATAGCTGTGGTGATTTTAACCCAAAACAATCAGAGAAAGGCTAGGTGAATGATATTTCTGTCCTCTGTGTGGTATTCTATATGAACTGCTTTATATTCTAGACTTGGTTTATAAAAATGCTCTCTAACAGAATGTTTTACTTAGATCTTTTGGCAGTGTTCTGCACAGACCAATTTGTCTTCAGACATGCTGAAGACCAAGTTCTTGCAGGCCTGTATATTTTAAATAAGCAATTGATGGGTTTTGCAAAGTAATCAAAGCTCAACATTAGCTTCAACATTTGTATCACACAAACTTGGATCAAAATCAACCCTTGTAGTCAGTCTAATGAATCAAACCAATACAGGTAATGACTGACCAGATACATAAAACTTTTTTCAATAAACAAGCAAACTTTTTAAAAATTAAGTCTGAATGTTCTGTTAACTATCTTAGATTGCACTCTGACATACTGATGACACCTGATGAAAACAGCTGCCCAAATAAAGACTAAGATTAACATAATCCATAAATTAGTGTGAACCAATTTGTGAGCAGATGCTCAGGCTTCTAGAACAGCTGCCAAAGCTTTTTTCAGTTTCTTTGCTTCAGTATGCTCATCATGTTTAAGCAAAATACAACTCTTTGCTGATATGAACAATGAGTGCTAAAGGTGGCTCTATGCTCCATCTTTTACAGATGTGAGCATTACAGCAGTATGAAGCAATGAGCAGCACCTTTTCTGTGATGATGGCCATGTTGTAAAGCACTGATGTCCAATTATATATGGCCTCATCTCAACTAGATTGCTCTTGTTGGATTAAAATGTTGTTTACATGCTTCACTGATGGTTTAGAGTGGCTACATTTTTATACATCAGTTTGAAATGTTGCCTTTCCATTTCTTGTCTTATAAATTTAGATAACTGAACTGTAGTTGCACATAGTATTTTATTGTTTTCATAGAAGGCGATGTGATATATGTACAAAAAGTCAATATCAATACTGTAGTTTTTTGGTCTTGTCCACAGCTCACTTTGTTCCCTGGAAAGGAGCATCAGGGAAATGATAACTTGTAATTGTATATCTTATCTTGACTGGGAAACTATATATTTATAAATGAGTGACAGACAAGAACATAGCATATTTAGAAATCTGTATATAAAAGAACCTGCAAAGTAGGATCCTAGTATAGTGTATATATCACTTGTATGGAAAATTGGCCTATCAATATTTTAACTCAATACATTAGAGCTAAATAAGGTTACATCATTAGCTATGCGGAGAATAACTAGCAGTGAACTATAAGTATTTGAGCAGAATTCAAAGAAATGCTGCCTTCACCATTCTACCCCACCAATTATGTTATGCAAGCAGCTGCTACTCTTTGTTTAACATAAGGGAATTCCACCAGCCTGTTTCCTTTTAGTAACTAGCATTCCAGTTCATTTCAGGGCTATTCCCTTTGCATAAACAGTGGATACCACTACCTGTGCAATGCAGTTAGCGGGGCCTTCCACTTGCAGAAGGGAAGGTGGGCAGAACAGACTCAGCACATGCACCAATCTCTTAACCCTTATGGTCATACTGCAAATTTTCTATAAGGAATGGAGAAATAATTCACAAAGTATAAATTTGTTAATCAGTATAACTTCTATATTAAAGAGTAGATACATGTTCTTTGTGGGTACCAGTGGAAACTTTTTTCTTAACACCAACTACCATAGAGGATATGAATTCGTGAATATGAAACTGATACATCATTTTGGATTCAAGGATGTAGTTGTGCTAGTTGAAAACATTTCTGCTAATCTGTTATTCCTACTTCCTGCTTCAGTACCTGAGATACTGGGCTGTCCAAGCCTCAGAAACAGATTTTTGAGGACACAGAGCACTGATATTGGGTGGGAGGGGGAAATCCAATGGAAAGTCGGCATGTTCAGAAGCAAATGTTGCATGTGCACTGGAAATGTTTAGCATATGTATTTTATTTTATTTATTTACAAGGAAGTTAAAGGTATGAACACTCAGGTTCATATTGGCCTCATCCTTGTTGTTGGAAGCCCAAGCAGCCACAGCAGCTCAGAGTAAATTTTACTGAGTTCAACTATGTACCAACTACAGTGTATCCTGGATAGGAAGAGATAGCTTGGTCATTGCAGTAGAAGTGCTGCTAACTTTAATACTGGATTACTACAGTGCAAGTTGATACAGAAGCTGCAGCTAGGAGAATATGCAACAGCTTGATTAAAGAGCATGTATCACCACTATACAGGGTTATATATTACTGAGACAGTTTTAAATTTTGCTGTAGGAAACAACAGGGGAACAGGATATTTGATAAAACTTCTTCTTTACCAGTCTGCCTGGTCAGTGAAATCATACATTAATTCATTTCTGGTGGGTCTCTACAGTCCTATGCTCCATATGGAGGCTTGTTGGAGTAGAGCCTTTGAATTATCAGTTCCTTCTTTGTGGAACTCTGTGCCTGTTGATGACAGGAAAGCATCAAAGTAGTTTCATTTTTTTCCCTCTGAGCACATTTTAAACAAGACTTCTTTTGATTGTTACAATGTTATTTATCTATTGGTAACATTTCTATACTGCTCTATATCTATCTATGTATATATTTATTTGATTTCTATACCACCCATTAACCAAGATGGTTCTCTTGGTTAGAGATAGATTCTCTAATTTGTCAAAGTCCAAGACAAAAAATATGAAGAAGAAAATAAAATTGAAAACAAACTATCAGACTAAAACAGACACAGACTGGTCAAACAAGGAAAGCTTTCTGAAGTAGAAATGATGTTGTCAGTAATGTTGTATCTGCCTGTTATTCAGAACCAAGGAGCTCCACAAAAATGGTGCCACCATACCAAAGGCTCTTATCCAGTGGACTCCGATCAGGTCACAGGTCCATACAAACTACCAGGATCTAGCTGGTTGTAAGGGAAAAGGTACTCTCTCAGGTGTCCTGAATCCAAGTACTTAACACTAGTACCAGTAGCCTAGTCCAGTAGTGAATAGGTAGCCAGTGCAGTTCCCTCAGCAAAAGGGTTGCATGCTGAAAAGGAGAGGCTCCAGACAGCAGCTGAGCTACTACATCCTGTATTAGCCTCAGCTTCTAGACTAGCCTTAAAGCCAGGCACACACAAAGCACATTATACTAATCCAGTCTTGAGGTTATTAGTCCCTGCAGCACTGTGCCTAAGTTATTCCTGTCCAGGAGAAGCCATAGTTGCAGGACTAGTTGAAGCTAGTAAAAAGCAATCCGAGGCTTCCTCACTCAGTAGTCCAGCAACAATAATGGATTTTGAAGTACCTCTCAACAAATCTTATCTTTCACAAGGAGTAAAACCTCATCCAGAACAGACAGTGCCCTATATTCTGGACTTGAGCCTCACTCACAGAACTTCTATCTAGCTAGGATTCAGCTTCAGTTCATTGGCCTTCATCCAGCCCACCACTGAGTCTAGGCACTGATCCAGGACTTGTATAGCCTCATCTGATTCACAGGAGATACAGCATACAGATGGAACTTGGCATGATATCCCCTAATGACCACTCCCAGGGGTTTCATATAGCTGTTGAATATGGTATTTTGTAAAAGCCAAGGGGCCAAGGAACAGTCAGCCAATATTATTCTATGAAAATGAACCTGCAGGTAAAACCAGATCCATTGTGCTGCATGGTGTTGATGGTCAAAAGTCATTGAGAGATCAAGCAGAATAAGTAGGGTCTCAGTCCTAATAATCTAATCAAGGCTGATTTAGTCTCATAGCTAGGTTGAAAGCCAGACTGGAATAAGTTTAGATCATAAGCATCCACCAGTTGCAGTTGCGCCACTACAATCTTCTAAAGTACTTTCTTCAAGAAAAGTAGTTATTTTCAACTTCAATTCCTAGTTATTTTCAACTAGGAAATAGTCATCAACTAATGTTAGGTACAGAGTAGTTTCTTCAAGAGTGGTTGCACTGTTACTCCATTAAAGGCAGAAAGAACAATCCATCGTTCCTGTATCTTTTATTTTAAAATGATTCTTAAAAGTTTAAAATCTGTATTTTATTGTTCACTGCTCAGATACAGTGCCTTGCCGAGATATTCACCTCTTTGACTTTCACACTTGTTGGTTGTATAAGTATTTATCCTTCTCAGTCAGTACTTGGTAGAAGCATATTTGGCAGCAATAATGGTTGAGAGTTTTCTTGAATGAGTCTCCATCAGCTTTTCATATCTGGATCCTACAGTATTTCTGTTTCCCTCCTTGCAAAACTGCTCCAGTTCTGTAAGGTTAGGTGAGAATTGTTGGTAAACAGCAAGTTTCAAGGCTTGCTAAAGATTTTTAGTTGGGTTAACATCTGAGCTTTCACTGAACCACTCTAAGTCATTCAGGTTTGTCTTTTGAAACCACTCTGTTACTTTGGCTCTGTATTCAAGGTTATTGTTCTGCTGGAAGGTGAATCTCTGCCCCAGTCTTAGATCCCTTGCAGACTGAAACAGGTTTTCCTCCAGATGTGCTCTGCATTTGGCTGCATTCATTTTGCCCTCAATCCAGACCATTTCACCACTCCCTATCAAGGAAAAGCATCTCCACAGCATGAAGCCAACACCACCAAATTTCACCATGGTATTGGTGTTTCCAGGAAATGAGCACTGTGGGCTTTTTGCCATGCACAGCAGCAGACTAGAGAAATGTTTTCTACATTTGCTGTATATCCCATAGTCCTTTTTTGCAAATAGCAAATGTACTTTGATTTTAGCTTGTTTCATCAATGGCTTTCTTCTCAGCACTTTCAAACAGGTCAAAAAAGCTCAGGTTTATCCAGGTGATAGTTGTACCATGAACAATTTCTCTAATCTCAGCTGCAGATCTCCCCTTCAGAGTTACCATTGACCTCTCGGCCACTTCTTTGACTAATGTCCTCCGTACCTGGTCACTGAATTTTAGTGGATGGCCTCCTCTAGCCAGAATAGTGGTCGAGCCATATTCTTTCTAGTTTATTATTCTGGGATTTAACAGAGTTCCAGAGATGTTCATAGTTTGAATTTATAATAATATAATTCAGAGCTGCTGCAAAACTGTATCCCAGAGTTGTTTTGACAACTTCTTGATGTTCAGGATGCTTCTTGTTTAGATATGCCCTCCAACTCTGGTGCCTTCCAGAAATAGGCATATTTAATTTAAGAACATGTGGCATTGGAAGTACACACAGGTGGATTCCAACTACTTATTGTATGTGAGTTCTGGAGGCACCAGAGATTAGGCATGTTGCAGAAACTATGGTGAATACTTAGGCAACCTACAAGTGACAGTTTGTTTTTGTTCACTTTTGTATCAGAATGAAAAAACTTTGCACCTTCACAGTGTTGACTGTCTTATATACATCAAATGGTAATAATACCAATTAAACCTATTTTACTTCCAGATTATAACACAATGAAATGAAATGAAATTCAAAAGTCAAAGCAGGAGGATATTGCTACTGTATTTTCTTGGATATAGGGGTGTATAAATCTTAATCAACAACAAAACAGGCTGTCTGTATTTGCATCTTTACTAGTCAGTTCTCTGATAGTAAAGATATAAGACTTCAGCTTTGTGGGATCTCTTTTGTTCCCTAACAGAATACTGCTAAACCAGACATAAAATGGGTAGCTCAGGAGGCCGACTCTATTGTCTACTGTGACCCATGAATCATACACTGGGATATGTACAAATCAACATTTGAGTCACTGTAGATAAGGGATTCGAATGCATTACTCTGAAACAGGTCGGCAGAATGGAATAACAACCTGGTCAAAAGCAACCAGTCAATATTCCTATTTTACAAACTGGGAATACTGAGGATGGAAGATCAAAATTTAGCACAAGACCTGCATGACAGAAGGGGGTGTTGTCTGCTTTCTAAAAATCAGAAATTCTTGAAGATCTAGCAGAAACCACTCAGCTCTTACCAGTAAATTCCAATCTGTGGTTCAGCCTCCCCTACCCCTGTACATGCAATGGCACTCTGCTACCTCTATATTTCTGTTCTCTTCCACTAGAGCAGAGGAAGGGAATCTTTTTGAAATGTCATTCACAGGTTGGAAGATTTAATCAGGGTACAGCTGATTGTTAGTGGATTCATAATCAAAAGCAGGTTACGTTTTCAGTACTGTAGGATTTCATAGCTCTTCCTCTGCTACCTAACCCCATCCCTTCTCTGTGCCACTCCATCCCTTCTCTATTTCTTGCACATAAGAAGAAGACAAAGAGGCAGCTGGAAAGCAGGAATAGACCACAGCATCTGAAGACCAGATTATGTTGAGGATCCTATTAACCAATAATAGAAGAAAAAATATGGAACCTTGTATGACCACAACTATCAGAAACAAAAACAGACTACCTTGAAAACTCCATGTATCTGTAATACACTGTAATTCTGGATTTTAATGGTAAGCCACTTTGATAGTTGAACATGGCTGAAAATGGGTAAATCACTAGAACTCCTGATTTTTATTATTGCAAGACTCTGCTTCAAAAGTCCTGTGTATTCTTTTAGTTTTCTTTTCCTAGCTAAGGTGCAGGGAACCTCCAACAGTTGAGGTCTCCATCACCATCCTCAGTTCCCCTTCCATCCAAAAGGCTGCCAAGGCTACCAGGGGCTTAGGAAGAAGGGAAGAAAAGGAATCCTCTTATTGTTGATCTCTAGTTAGCAAGCTCTCCCTGCCCCAATACACAGCTCTTCCTCCCAGCCCTGGATGAGCAGCAGGCAGGGAAGTCCCCCTGTTGTTAAAATATATAAAAGTCTGGAGCATAGGCAGTCAACCAGAATAGGGTGATGGGCCAGATGATTCACCACTCATCTCTCTGCAGGTCAAATGACATCAAGGAATAGTACATCTGGTCCCATCATTTGGGGTATTGGGGAGAAGCACTAGTTGTGTATTGCCCAGAGCATGCAGGAATACCTGTAAGCATCGGACAAGTGGGAGAAAGCACAGGGTAGGCAAAGAGTCGTTGCTGTGCAGAGCCCTTCTCTGATGGTACATACCACAAAACTGATTCCTGGCAGGTGCATTGGCCTGGGACCAAATGACTAAGCAAATGATGCTTACAATACAAAAAGAATTTAACAAATGTTTCTTTTGTGAGCACTGATCACTAAAAGATGCTTATTTAAATAAGCCATTAGACCCACTGAAGTTTGTGGCTATTAGATACTGGACATCCCACACATGTGAGTATGTGCTTTAGCAATATGTCGCTAGCAACTTGATTTGTCGCTAGCAATGAAGATAAAAGTTTGAGTTTTACAGTTTTGGCAAGAAGCTTCTTTCGGGGTACTTGCTTTCAAGGCCTATTGTTTGATTTTGGAAAATTGACGCATCTGTAAAGATTGTCAGGGTGTTCCCACAATACTCCCCTCTTATTTTTGTGAACAGAGATCACCCGTGCCATGTGTATCTAGTACATTCTCCGCATAGGGAAACACCCTGCAATTTCCCACTGCTCAGGGAAATAGGGAGCACAGAACAATACTCTGACATTTGTTCTGTTCTAATAAATTAATGCTTTAAACTTTGATTTTAACCTAACTACCACAGAAATTTGGGATTTCACATTTTAAAAAATTCTTCTGTTCAGATCAAGTATGTTTCTGTTTGTCCAAATCAAGTCAGATTACAATAATCAGATTTTGTCTGTATGTTCTAGTCATCTTTGGTTTGTCAAGGTAGCAACCTTCAAAAGTAGGAAACCGGGAGGTCATATCTGTCCCTAAATCAATGTTCATAGGATTGCAACCTTAGATTGCACTACAGCTCTTTAGATAAAATGCATGTCAAAAAGCAAGCTAGGACAGATATATATCAAATCAGCTCTTAACTTGTGAGATTGAATTATTTTCTCAGGGTATAATGGTATTCTTTGCATACTACTGTGATTGGGAATTGTATATAAAAAGTATGGCTGATAAATAGTTTTTGTCTTTAATAATATCAGGGATGAAGAACCTTCTTTATCCAAAGGCTGCGTATTCTTGGAAATAAGTTCTTGGCTGTTTTGCCAACAGTGGGCAGGCCCATCCCAAAAGTGGTATAGCAAGGGTCAAACCATTTTCTTCTGCTGTGTACACCCAGGCCATTGTTTTTGATGCCACCATCTTAAGCTTAAATTTTGAACTTTCAGCTTGCTTGAGTGAGATCATATTTATTCATTTTTCATGTTTCCACAGTATGCTTTAACAACAAATTCCAGAAGCCATCTTGGAAAGGACTTTGCTGTCATAGCCAAAAACCTGAAGATCAATATAGGAAACTTTTGTAACCACAAGCTTTTTTTCTGTACAGTTATTAATGTGTCGCTATATAAGGGAGGGGGAAGGGAGTTACCACACTTTCAGTTCATTTGCAACCTCTGGCTTGGCTATATTGGTTATCCCAACCTGCAGAGAAAGATTGAGACTGATAATACAAATGAAGATGTGGATGTATGAAGGCTAAGTTGTAGGTAAGCGCATTAAGCACCATTAAGCTAAAAGAACTCAAATATGAAATTGCTGAGCTTCTCACCAAACTATTCAATATGTTGCTAAGATCAGTCTCTGTACCAGAGCATTGGAGAATGGCCAGTGTAACCCCTTTTTTAAATGGATCTCTGGGGTATCTAGGGAATTACTGGCTGGTTAGCTTAACACCTCTTCTGGGTAAATTGGTTGAAAGTGTTATCAAGATTAGTATCAGTGAGCACATAGAGGGACAAGCCCTGCTGAAAAAGAATCAACATGGCTTCTGCAAAGGTAAGTCCTATCTCACTAATGTATTAGAGTTCTTTGAGATTGTCAGTTAAGCACATGGGCAAGGGCAATCTGGTAGACATTGTTTACTTATACTTCTAAAAGACTCTTGACAAAGTCCCTAACTAAGGACTCCTATGCAAATTTAGAAGAGAGGGAATAAATGACAATTTCTCCCAGTAATGAGATGTAGCCAGTGGGGTCCCACAAAATTCTGTATTAGGATCAATGCTTTTCAACATATTCATAAATTATCAGAATTAGGAGTAAGCAGTGCAGTGGCCAAGTCTGCTAATCATAGCAAAATACTTAGGGTTGTTAAAACCAAAAGGGATTGTGAGGAAAACTGGGAGAAGGAGCATCAAAAAATTGTCAAAAGTAGTTCAGTGTGAGCCAATGTAATGCATGTTGGCAGAAAAATTAAAAAACTTACTTCAAATATAGGTTGGTAGGATCTGAGCTAGTAATGACTGATCAAGAAAGTGATCTTAGTGAATAGCTCAATTAAAATATCAACCCAGTGAACAGCTGTTGTGAAAAAGGCATAAATAGGAAAAAAATGAAAACAAATCTGCCAAGATTGTACTCACCTTAAGCCAAATCTTTGGTGCATTCTCACTTAGAATATTGTGGACAACAAGTAGAGGGACCAGAAAAGGCATCGTTGAGTTGAAAAAAGTAGAGAGAAGAGCAACTAAAATGATCAAGAGGTTGGAACAATTCTCCTGCAAGGGCACAGTTACAACAACTGGGATTGGTTAGCTTAGAAAAAAAGCAAGTAAGGGGAAGAAATGATAGAGGTGTTTAAAATTATACATGATGTGGAGAAAGTGGATATGGAAGCTGATTGGTAGGAGACTCAGGATAGATAAAAGGAAGTACTTCTTCACAAAGTACATATTTAAACTATGGAGTTCACTGCCATAGAAGGTAGTGGTGGTCACCAATTTGGATGGCTTTCAAAGACAATTGGACAAATTAATGAAGAGAAGGCTATCAATGACTACTAGCTTTGCTGGCTATGTTTGACACTGTATTCAGCTTTCTATTATTGTATGTCATAGCCTAGAATTGTGATAATAGTTTTCTCTAATCCCCCTGCATCTCCAGTGCATTGGATTTGGTGGTAAGCCTATTCAGTGAGAGTAGTTTATCTGTCTCATGCATTGAGGAATTTCACACTAAACCTTTATATGTTATTTTTGTTGCTGACTAACATATAACTCAAGTTCATGTTATTTACTTTCTGCTGAATTTCTCTGGAATTCATAAGAAATCTTTCATTCTCAGTAAGAGATTCTATGGGATCATGAAGATGCAATAAAATATACTGAGCTAAGTATTGATTCATCAATTCCAGTTTGTGCTAAATATGTAGATGATTATTTTGGCCTTACCTGTTCTATGCATATGCTCTCCTTGAATATATAGCCTTAAATGCAATATTAACTTTGATTATCTAATCTGGTGTATGATAGCAAATTACGTTTCAAATTTTCAATCGTCTTTCTTCTAACACAATGTGATACATTTTTGGAGTGGGAAGGTCACTGGAAGAGCTGATAAAGCTAACAGGAAGATAAATTCTGGGCCTGGAATTTTACCTTAATATCTGCAACATTCTTGCAAATTGATCCTGGATCTTTACAGTGGGTAGATTTCCTACCTGCATCCTGATTGCTATTTATTTATTTATTTATTTGTTTGTTTATTTAAACATTTCTATGCCTCCCCATTCGCCGAAGCCTCAGGGCAGCTCACAACATAAATAATAATTGATATTGTTGGACAACAATTTGTTATCCAGTCTAAACGAAGAACAATTTGCTGACCATACTTGAGCAATTTAGGAATGTGCTGTTGATTTTATACTTAAAGCCTTTGACTGACTAATTGGATAAATTGCATAGTGTTATGAATAGCTGGACTGGAGTGGAAGGATTGCTTTTGTGAGGAGAAAGTGGGAAATTCCATTCTTCCCATTACCCCATGGTCAATTCTATTTAGCAGAAGTCATGAACACTCTGATTTGGTTTGTACAATATGACAGCCTAGCTATGGTGTTGTATGAACCCAGATATCTTCCCACAGATTGGCTTGTGAGAAATAAGTAAGGATTGTTGCATCCGTGACAGGTTTTCATGTTCTCTAAATTTGGAACCCAATCCCATTGTGAGTACAGAGGAGTGGTGAGTGGCAAAAACTAGTTCATACTAAGCTTGCCACAGCAACCAGCAATTGATAACACAAACAACACTTCAGACTGACTGACAGACACTGGATCACTCTTGCTTGACTGCAGCCTCTTTTGTACTTAATAGCTTGCTTTCTTTTTACACTTTTTCCTGACAGCTGTCAAAACTCTGTGTTCCCATAAATGGAATGCACACACTTTTCCACTTTCCTGAGCACTCAGAATCTTGGAAATCTGTGCAAAAGGTGCAATCCAATCAGAACAGTGCAATCCAAACAAAAGACAGGGGGACTTTACTGCAAAGCTTTTGCCAGATATACAGTTTCCTAGTGGCTTTTGTTCTCATGTAACAGCTTGTCATTTGACAGCTGACCTATGAGAAACAAAGGAACTCCTTGTGTCCATGGATTGTTCCTCTTGCATTTTGGCAAGAAACAACATCCAGACATAGACAAGGCAGGATTGTGCATTTGGATAGTCAGAGTTTTGCACCTATGAAAATTCTAAATCATCATCATCATCAAGAAACCATATGCACATATCTCGGGCAAACACACAGACATACCCGTACATAATATGACTGATGAACCAGAGACAATCACTTCAATTTGCTGCATGGGCAGTCTGAACCAGATGTCAGAGACTGTTGTCACTTTGGAGACTGGGAAAAATGAACTCCAGAAATGGTTGCAGTCGCAGCAGGAAGAGGAGTCGAGACAGGTCATGCTGTTGCATCTCCTCAGATGTGTATGGGAGGAACAAGAGGGGAAGGAGTGATAACCCAGTTGTCTGTTGGGCATACTGTGGGTTGTTTTATGAACAACCCACACTGCAGAGCTAATACATGGGGCTGAATTCATTCTAGTTTGTCACTACAATTAAAATTAGAATCAGATATTATAGAAGTTGCAACTGATTTATGCATTAAATTATGATTGTTGTTTCTACCTGCTGAAGAGAATTTATTTTTGTAGTTCTAGTTGTAAGCTGATGCTTACAATAGGTATTCTATTGCTATGCGATGGGCTAAATGGCAGGCTATAAAGTCATATAATAGAGGAACTGAGTATCACAGCTGTTAGTCACTTTCCGTCTCACTGGTGATCATTTTTAGGTGAAGTCTGTCAAGATCAACGTAAACTTTCAAACTCATATGCTTATGCTCATTCGGTTACCTTCCTCTGTGCTTTTGCTGGACCTCATCTCAAAAGGGGAAGAGAAGTAGCTGGTGTGATTTCGGGATACCCTCCATACACACTTCATCCCCTGTCCCTTTTATTCACTCTCTGAAGTTGCTTTCCCAGCCTTTTCAGAGTGCAATCAGCATGGATCTTTCCATACCAGCTGTAACTGGGAGGGATCAGAGCTCTGACTTCCAGCTTCAAGGAGTGCTGGAGATATGGACTATCCTGTGGCCCCTCCTATTATGTCTGTGGCCATAGGATCATTCATTTAGACATTTATCATGTACCCTATATTTTTTCTACGCAACCCCCCTAAATAATTAAATCTATATAAGGAAGATGATCTGTCGCTCCTGAATACCTAGTTGCCTCTTTCTTTCTTTTATTTCTTTTACAGTAGTTGAAGTATGACTAAAGTAGATTTAAAATAGCTTAATCTATGATATTAAAATGTATTCTGTTTTACTCTTTTACTTAACAATACTGTATGTCCTTAACTGCCATGATATTAACTAACTTTTAATGCTTTTTCTTCTTTTGATCTTGGAACCAATTCTAAACTCATTAGGGAAAGTTTCCATAGTTCTCGTACAACTGGAATTCTATTTTATCTCCTAAATGTTTTAGTGTTAACCTGGCCCCTTCATTAGCATTCTTGTTACCAGATAATTGTAAAGTATGTGCTTTTTTAATGGTCCCTAAACCTGCTCAATGTTTGGTATATTTTAACTAGTTTTCTGACTTTAAAGGGATTTGTATGGCAAAATTACATTGCATTATTGCATTATGCTGCGTTGACATTGGAATCCACCTTAGGTTTTTCCCCTGTTGTTGAAAGTATGGAGTATCAATGAACCTTTAGGCTGTTCATTATGAGAGTTGCAACAAAGAGCTTTCAAATGCTCTGTCTTTAACATGAATTTCAACTGAGAGATTTGGTTTAGAGACAATGTGCTCTGTGGACAAACTATCATATAAACTTCTAATTACTCTGTTCTCATATAGGTAGAAATGAATTAACTGGCTCAGCAGGAAGTAAATAATCTCACCTACTGTGCATGTGAAGGCTTTGGGCGTTGTGGATCATTGCACTATTGAAGAATATTAATAGGCATCAACTTTATATACTGTGCAGTGCACACACACAAAAATGAAGAAAAATGAATAGGTATCTCAAGGTGCCATTAAGCTTAATATGATCAACTTCTCAAGATACGGGTGTGTGACATGCCCAAAATAACATTGTTTGTAATGTATTTTCTCTAATTTAAATTGACAAACTGTTTTGTATGTACTAAAAATGCATGTAGAGTTTTGCTATGTCAGAATTACAACATGATCTGTTCACAGCCCTCTTGCATTTATTGGGGATCATACTGTACTTCAAATTCATAAACTAGGTTACAGGCTCATTGTGAAACTCATATACTTGATGCCCATCACTCCTTTTGTAAAAACTGAAATTCTGCTGAAGGAATGAATGATTGCAATTGGAGAAGTGGTGACAAGGAGTACTGTTTCTCTGTTTCTGTCAGTCCACCCCTCTTATACAAGGAGTATGAGAGAGAGAGAGAGGGAGCATGCCCAATTTTGAGGCAACATTGCCCTCATCCTTAAAATTGTAACATAATGTAGCCATCATTTATGGTTAACCATTCTACTCACATTTTGTATTAATTAAAAAGTAATAGTAAGCACCTGTGTGTAAACTGTGACCTGTCTTCACTGAAGCATAGCACATTGGGTCCATATGCAGAGGATTGGAAAGTGAAGAAACAAGAGAAAGGGGAAGCAAATGGGAGGGACAGTAAAGCATCTGACTACTCCTTTTGATGGGTCTTGGTTCTCTACTAATGGAAGTTCCTCACAAAACATCCTTTCTCTGGGCATATTCAGTGACTCAGACCCATGTGCAAAGCTGCTCCTAATGCAGTTATTCTGCTGAAAACTAGACATTTGGATGTACCTAGAGAACTGTACTGTCAGGCAGCACACTTTGAACACAAGTCTGAACAAAGTCTAAGAAAAGAGAGAATAAGCTGCCTAACATATTTCCTTTGATGGCTTGCTGGCTTCTAGACTTCAGTATCAAGCCAACACACCTTGTTCTCTGCATACAGAAAATCTGGATCATGTTCATGATCGTCGTCATCATCATCATCATCATTATTAGATCATAAAATGTTTTAACATGGACTGTGTTTCTTTCCGTTTGGCATCTAGTCTTCTGAAGTTAATTTTTTCACTAATGTCTAGCCCCTTCTTCTTTGTTTTTCAGATCAGCAAAAATGGGAAGCACTGGATTCTGGTTTGCTCCTAGACATGTCAGTGGAACTGGTTAAGACCAAAATCTGAAGGTTTTTCTTCGTTATCCGTCACCAGGTGTGCACTGAACAGAGGCTACCATAAATCTGTTTTGAGTATGAACACCTTTTAAAATGGTATAAAATATATAACAGTATTGTTTAAATAGTTTTTTGATACTGTAACATTTATCCTACAGTTGAGAAAGAACCAATGTGAATAATAATATGCTGAAGCTGGAAATAGGCATTATTACTCAATTTTTTTTCAGCTGGTCTTTGAAAAGTGTAATATTTGAACATCAATGTCAAAATACTATCTGCATTGCTCAGCCTGTACATCCACAGTTGAGTTAGCTGTAAATAGTTAGGGTAATAAGCAAGTGACTTAATTATTTAGATATTCACCCCAGAAATAGCAAAATGAAATTTAAATGGTTGGGCTCTAAAGGACCATACGTACTGCACTGCATGCACAGCGGGACCTTTCTGATCCTCCTTTCCTACAGCAGTTCTTTGCATTCATCTTTCCCAACTCCCCAAAAGCTACTCATGAAGTATAAGGCATACAACAGCAGAGAAGATGGAGTAGCATTTGGAGGAGCATTCAACAGCAAAGAAGATGGTGTTGTATGGGAGATCAGTTGTCCCCTTGTGCTTTAGATATATGTGCAGTCCCTCTTGAATCCTGACCACTGCAACAGTAATATAAAAAGGAGTAATCTACATCAATTAAAAAGGAATATTTGATACCTAATCTTGAATCAGCATGGTTCTGCACATTCTTTGAAATATTCTCTTTAAAATGGGTTGAAACCTTGAGAGGCTTAAGGACTAATTTATAGCTGATTGACTGAATTTCTTCTTACTTTAAAGCAGATACAGCTATTTGAAATGTGCTTCTTGGTTTTCCCTACCTTTCATTCCCTTACGCTAAAATGCTTCCCTTATCATCTGAAATTGAGCCTAACTAGCTGCAATAGCAGTAGATCTGTGCATTAGAACATAGGTCTAATGCATAGTTCTAAAGTAAAGTTGTTTAGATCCAGGCATTCCTTTTTGTAAACGGAAGTGCTCCTGTTCCTAGAGGAAACAGATCCAGTGGAAACTTGCTGCTGGAAGAAGGGACAAGGTGTTGACTTTTGCTGACAACTTCTCCCCCTGCAGCCTCCATTACTATTTCCCATGCTATTCCGAAGGATTCCCCAAGGCACTCGAGCTTTTCAGGTCTTGCAGGGGAATTCAATAGGAAAGGTGAAAATCACTGCCCCTGTGCATTCCTCTGGTATAGCAGAACTCTAAGCACATCTTTGGATCCTACCCAGTAGGAATTTAAAAGAAATAAGAGATGTTAAGAAAGAAGTGCTAAGCTCATTGCCCTCGGCTTTTGACCCTTACAGTGCTTCCAGCTGGGCTTAGAAATGACAAGTAAACACATCCAGAAGAAACATGGCTGGAGGAGGTGGTTTATGGAGTAAGAACCAGTGACTACAGGAGGGCTCCTGCCAGCCAGCACAACTCATGTTCTTTGATACAGATTGTTATTTGCTATTGCTTCTAATTAGGGCCTAAAATAAGTTCCATAATTTCTTTAGAGCTATAGAGCATAACAAAACTAGTTTGTGATTTCTCAGAAATGGTAAATCCTTCTAGTTCTACTTCTACTAGTTCTACTTAATGGTTTTATCCTAAGATTCTTCTAAAGGCTTCCAGTTGTTCAGTGTCATGAGTATAAAATATAAAAAAAGGATTGCTAAAGTACATTACCTTACAAGGCAAAATAGAACTTGAGTTCCAGACACACAGGTATAAGCTAAGGGTTTGAAAATGCAATATATATTGAAAAATTTCAGTGAAGCAATAAGCACCAAAGATGTTCGAGCATGCTTTTCCCCTATCCATTTCTGAAACATCTCTTGCATTTATTTTTTTTCCCCTGCTAAAGTTTTGTATTGTGTTTTCTTATACTGACCTATAATAGAATCTTTTTGTTGTACTTCCTTAATTAGATAAATAGGTTAAAAGAGGTTATTGGTACCAATAAAGAAAGGTTTTAAAAAGTCAGGCCAGAAATTAAATGTACTGTATCCTTCATTCACAATAGACCTGCAGTTCTTTTATTACTAATCAGTGGAAGAATTAATTAGCATTAGAATTCATTGGAACAGATTGTGTCTTGCACTGCCCAGTTTATATAGGATATCTATAGCAACACAATAGATATGGAAACATTAGTTTTATTGTGGAAGATCAGATGTCTTGGAGAAGATAGTGCTCCATTGCTGAGAAAACAGCAACATTTAAAAATTCAGTTACAATGTTTAGTCATTTGAAACGTCCAGTGCTCTTCCTACTCTCTTCATGAGCATATCAATTGTAACATAGAGTTATTTAAAGTATTATGAAACTAATGTTTTCCAAATCTATTGAAATTGCCTCTGACACTACTAGTTATGAAAAAGGCATGCTTTCCCTTTCTAATCGTCTGTGAATTTTAAGAATTCGATTTTTCAGTGACCCAATCATGATTTGGCAATCAGGAATCTCAGGGCTACAGCTCCTTTCAGATCAATATTTTTTGCCCTTTCAATTTTGGGATAAATATGAGTAGCATTACATCTGCACCAGCACTTTTACTAGTCATAGTGCTAAACCACTTTTACAAAAATATGCAAACCCTGACTTGGTGTAATGCTTAGTAACATTGCTCATGCAGGTGTAACAAATGGTAGTTGACCCTAAAGACTGAAACATTAAGGATTTCCACTTGAGCAATCAGAAGCTGTACAAAGCTTGATTGCCTAACTATGATCAGGTGGAGGATATGCATGTATGTTGGCTGAATCCCTGGTCAGAGCATCTGTTGATGGGGGACATGGCCCAGCTTTCCCTATCATGCTGTAAGTAATTTTAATATGAACACTTCTGTTGTCTCAATTTGTTTGGGGACCCTTTGGTTTTAGAACACACATCCTACAAGAAAAAGAAAAGTATCTCTAGACCCAAAAGTCATACCCTTGTTGGTTAAACAAAAGTGATTAAAAAGATCTCTTCAGAGCTAACATCTAGTCTTACCATTTTACAAGGGCTATAATGTGATTGGACCTTGATATGAATTGATAATCTGACTAAGTCCTTTAGGCACAGTGATATACATGTCTAAACAGAAGATACAACTACAACTCCAGCATGCCAGCTGGGGAATGCTGGGAGTTGTGGAATTCTTTCTGTCTAAACATGATAGGATTTCATTCTTACAAATAAAATGAGGTAGAAGTTACTAACAAAGTAGGTAGTGCCTAAGGTAAATTAATTTAAAGGTAGGTCCATGGAATAAACTATTCCTAAATTCCCTGTGGTTCCCTGTGCTCCCTGAAGAGTTTTCCTGGGTTAGTGGTGCAAAGATTTGCCTGAAATCTGGCTTTTTTGTGCTTGCCAAACTTCTTCCCTATGCTTGACTCTGGCCTAGGAAGTGAGCCAAACCAAGATCAAGTCTGCAAAAACTCAGGAACATTAGCAGGGCCCTTCTTTGCACTGAATTATTCTCTCTCTAAGTATGCAGTCCCCATGCACCAAACACAATGTACACCAATTACGGACAGTGCTAAGTGTACATGTGTAGTTCCTGCCACGGGTGGCAATATGTCCTCACTGCCCACAGCACATGTGCAGCCCTCCTGTACAGCTAAAATTTGCACAAAGGCATCTTTCCTGTTGTCCATGAGGCAACACACAGTTTGTGTGTGCAAATGCTGCTGTAACAATGTACAAAAATCTGGCAAACATACAGGACGCGGGCAGAGCAGAGTTAGGAGGTGGACTTAGGATATGTGTGCAATTAAATCAGCATGTACAGCACAAAAGCAAAGCCTGCAGTTCATATGTGTAGAAGCAGAACTCCACTTTCACAACAGCCACACAAGCAGCGTGTGCACAAACTGCCCTTGCTAGTTAGACCTGTGCTAGTTATATCTGGATTGTAGTACATAGCAATTGGACTCACTTTCTGCCAGATGCCTGCCTGAATTCTCAATGTGAAATGGGCTTAGAGCAGAGAGAAAGCAGGCAGGCATATGAGGAGCCAAGCAAAGAAAATAGATTCTCTTCCCCAAACCAGATTCCTTAAACATCACTACCCTGGAAAACTGGAAGTCCTGTAGAGTGTTTTTCCAGGGGGCAGCAGGAAAGAGGCAAAGTGCTGGAAATTTTAACTAACTTTAGGATCCAAGCTTATGAAAGTAAAATTTAATGGGTAGAAACCAACTTGTCCCACCATCAACAAAAGTTTTCCATAAGAGATTCTTCCTCCCCCTAATGCTCAAAATTGTCTGGAGGATTGCACAAATCTACAAAGCATATTTTGGATGGAGAAATGGCAGTTGCCGTCATCCATTCCACTGACATAGGTCTCTACAGATGAAATAGCCCTAGCTGTACCAAATCTGCCTCTAGTAGCTCAATCTGCTACTAGCAGATTTTGTGGATAAAACTGCACTGGAAGTTAATCAATTTCCACTTTTCCCTAGGAGAGGGGTAAACAGAAAGCTTTCGTCTTTTGTTTTGATAATTCTAGACAGAGGTTACCAAGTGGTACCAATCAGAAGGTACTGTGCAGCCATTCCATTTTTTCTCCTTAACAGATTTATGTGTTAAGAAAAAAGATGGAAGAAACCATGGGAGGGCGACAGTGGTACATGGATCCCTCCTCATATTCCATGAATGGGGCAAAATTATCATGTGAAAACGTCTAATCTGTAAACACCTTTTATTTAAAAAGTTACCAAATGTGGAAAGCAACTCAATTATACTTTTTAAAAGTTAGAAGTGGAGGAATCAGGATAAATAGATTTTAAAACAACTGCTGAAAATGGGATTTTTTTTAACTTCTAGGACACAATCCTATGCATGTTCGGATAGAAACAAATCCTACAACTTTCAGTTTTCCAAGCAAGGTGTGTTGGCTGAAGAGTTTTTGGAATTGTAGGACTTTATTCTGGCCACACATGCATAAAAATGTGCTTCTAATGGATGTTTTAAGACAGTATTGGATTTTTCATAAATTAATTAGCCAAGTTACATGGATAGATTCCAAGTGTTCACAAGAACACAGGATTCGAAAGGTTTCCTACAGAATTTGGCAATAGTCACTTAAGATAGACTGTGTAAATTCTGTTATGATACCTTCTATGCGTATGGCTGTCTGTTCTCACAAACTGTTTATCTCTGTAAATTGCATATTTAGCTTTAACTATATTTTCTTAATCATTTATTTGGCCATGTTATTTGAATCCATTCTTAATTTTAATGCTTGAAATACTGTAGTGATGTTTCAAAAAATTTTTAAAATGTGTAATGCTTACAGCTGAAACTTGGGATTAGGTAAATTGGTAGAAAGTGGGATGGACTTGTGTCTAGAACACTCAAGTACAAATTTAAATGCCTAACTTACCACTGATGCTTGGTTGTCAGTTGGATTCTGATACACAGTGGTACCTCGGCTCACAAACGCTTTGGTTCACAAACAAATCAGGTCACAAACAAAACTTTCTGAAAAATTTTGACTTGGGTTGCAAACACCACTTTAGGTGGTGACCAAGATCGCAGCCATCTCCCCCCGCCCCAAGGGGGGAGCTGGCCACGATCGCAGTTCCATTCGTGCAGGGAAGACGTGCGTGATCAGAGGTGCGCTGCTGCAGGAAAGACGGGAGCAACAAAGCAGAGCCGCGGGGAGATGGCTGAGATTCTGCCTGTCTTTCCTGCAGGAGCGCGCCTCTGATCACGCACGCCTTCCCTGCACGAACGGAACTGCAGTTGCGGCCATCCCCCCCCCCCCCCCCATGTGTAGTCAGTTTAAGGCCAGATAAATTCTGGGATAAAAAATTGTTACAACTTGCTGAGGACAAAAAAAAATGCTGAGAACAAAATTTTTTTTTTTTAAAATGTCCCTGTTCACAGAAACTTAGCATGTTAGGGGGAAGAGTCATGGTTAGACCTGAAGCCTTTTACCTGACATGCTAACTTCTAAAGGTCAGAATAATTTTTATGTGGGACCATTCAAACATGCAGATCCTCCCTTGTTTCTCTAGTGGTACAGTCCATGGGGTTCTCTATCATGTGCTATTAATTTTCACTACCATGTACAGTGTTTCAGATTACATAACCACTGATTTTCTTTGATAGATGGTATGCATTTCTATCCATATCACATCAAGTCAGCCAGATTAATTTTTATTTGCTTAAGAAGTTCCAGGAACTCTGCTACATTAGTTCAAGGACTTAAAAAGTGCAAGATGTAGTTTCAGGGTACATGTGGATCTGTCCATCCTGAGCAGTGAATTTTGAGCTGTTATAAATAGCTTGAAGGAGCCTACATATATTACAATAGACCAGCTGAACCTAATTTATATAAGCTTTATTCAAAAGCATCACATAGCAAGTAAACTTCAAAATTAAGTGTAGTTACAAATAGTTGTTTCTTATTTTTTTTTTCCAGTCCCCTTTTGCTTTCTTTAACGACCACATGAAACTTGAGAAGCCATCTAAAGCTAAATCATTTAGTGGAGTTGGGCAATTCCCAAGTGTCCAACAAGAAGGCCTGGTTTAGGCTGCGATGGCCACAGTCATTCCTGGTGATTTGTCAGAAGTAAGAGATACCCAGAAAGTCCCTTCAGGGAAACGTAAGCGTGGTGAATCCAAACCAAGAAAAAACTTTCCCTGCCAACTGTGTGACAAGGCCTTTAACAGTGTTGAGAAATTAAAGGTTCACTCATACTCTCACACAGGAGAGAGGCCCTACAAGTGCACGCAACAAGACTGCACCAAGGCCTTTGTTTCTAAGTACAAATTACTAAGGTATTAAACTCTATTTATTTTTCAGATTTTATTATCATTTGTTGGCCATTTTAAGCTTTGTAAACGTTTATATCTGTGTACACTTCAGCTGATTTTCAGGGAGGAAATGTTAGTTAATTTAGACATCAGATTGTAAAATTGTAAACTACAGTGCACAGCATTATAAGTTACTATCTGAGTTTCTGTGTGTGTTTCAAAGTTTAAAGTTTTTCAGTTGTATCAACTTGTTGCAAATAAGTGTATTGACTGAGTATTTTGGCTATGGACACAAATCAACTATTCACACATAATGAAATATTTTATTAAAGTAACTTAATCATCAAACTAAAATCTCAATCAAAATGAAATGGCTTGTAATGTGTGATTTGCTATATATAAGTATGACACAATGTTTGTAGTGACATGCCTTCTGCAAAATAAATTGGGAGGGGGGAATAGCACAGTATTTAGCAGCCATTAAAAATGAACACATGTACTTTTGATCAAAACAATTACTTACAGAATATATCTGTGTTTAAAGGCATATGGCTACTCATTCTCCTGAGAAAACCCACAAGTGTAATTATTGTGAGAAAATGTTTCATCGAAAAGATCACCTAAAGAACCATCTACATACACATAATCCCAATAAAGAGGCCTTTAAGTGTGAAGAATGTGGAAAGAACTACAACACGAAGCTTGGGTTTAAGCGTCACCTGGCTTTGCATGCTGCAACAAGTGGTGACCTCACCTGTAAAGTATGTTTGCAAACATTTGAAAGCACAGGGGTGTTGCTAGAGCACCTAAAAACTCACGCAGGCAAATCATCAGGTGGGGTGAAAGAGAAAAAGCACCAGTGTGAACATTGTGATCGTCGGTTTTACACCCGCAAGGATGTCCGAAGACACATGGTAGTGCACACTGGAAGAAAGGACTTCCTTTGTCAGTATTGTGCACAGAGATTTGGCCGGAAGGATCACCTAACACGGCATATGAAGAAAAGTCATAACCAAGAACTTCTGAAGGTCAAAACAGAGCCAATGGACCTTCTAGACCCATTTACTTGCAATGTTTCTGTGCCTATAAAGGATGAGCTGCTTCCAGTGATGTCTTTATCTTCCAGTGAACTGACATCAAAGCCATTTACAAACACTTTGCAGTTAAATCTCTACAACACTCAGATTCAGTCCATGCAGAGCTCAACATCTGCACACCAAATGGTTGCCACATCATTACCTTTAGGAATGTCTTGTCCAATAGATATGGAATCTGTCCACCCTTCTCACCAGCTTTCTTTAAAATATCCACTCAGTTCTACCTCGTATACAGTTTCTATGTCTGATAAAGAGCAGCCATTGAAAGGGGAAATTGAAAGTTACTTAATGGAATTGCAAAGTGGAATGCCTTCATCCCAAGATTCTCAAGCATCTTCATCTAAATTAGGGTTGGATTCTCAAGTAGGTCCACTAGATGATGGATCTGGGGATGTTGCCCTTTCTAAAAGTTCTGTTTCTATTAGTGAACCTCTAAGCACACCATCACTGGACTTTTCTCAGTTATTCAATTTTATACCAGTAAATGGACCTCCTTTTAATCCTTCTGTTTCTGTGGGAAATCTTGGAATGGGTTACACACAGGAGGAGGCACATTCATCTATGACTCAGCTTCCTCCACAGGCACAAGATCCACAAGACCCTGGTAATGGTATAGGGCTTGGGTCTTTGCATTCACTGTCAGCAGCTTTCACAAGCAGTCTAAACACAACCACAACCCTACCACGTTTCCATCAAGCTTTCCAATAGGATGAAAAATAGCCTTGTGACAATTTTATTTGTAGAAATGCCTTAGATTAATGTAGTGCCTACTATGTCATTTGTAAATCTACTTTTGTACAGTACCAATTTCATTAAGCCAGTATGAAATTCAAATTAACTTTTAAAATATTTTGAATGTGTTCATTCACAATTGTTTACTTTTATTTTTTAAAACTGTCTGTATTCACACTGCCAACAGACCCACACACACATATAAAGAACCATTCCCAAAATGTTACATGTCCCATATTTTAAAACTTCATTAAGATTTGGTAATTCCATAGGTCAATGGAATGGTGGCTATTTTAAAAACTTAAGAATAGCAACAAAGCACTAATATTAATACAAGTCAGTTCCTAAAAATACAGCTTTCTTTGTAACCTAAAATACTGATTTATGAATACATTTGTTACTGTTGTATGAAAAACTGTAGAGCATTTATAGTTTTCTTAGAAGATTGGAAGGATCTACAATTGCTTAAATACTTTCACCAGATTAGAGAGGAAGAACTCTCTCATTTAAGTGCAATTACAAAGTAGTATAATTTGGCAAGAAAAGTATGCCTAATTAGCAAGTTTAAAAAGTGAAAAATTAAGAGCTGGCTTTGAAATATAAAATATAACTTCATTATTTCTTTTTTTAAAAAACCATCTTTTCTAGATGTCATCCAGAAGGTGGGTTAAATCCAGCACAAACATTTTATATGCTGTCAATTTGATTAGCTTGCAGTCAGAAAATGAATGTACATTTGCAAATACATGTTTCCATGTTTTCATTGGAGTAGATCTTTTAAGCTGTGTTTCATGATGTGTAATCATGCCCTAAAAACAACAAAGGTGGTAATCACAGTTACCATACCTGGGTATTTGGCTAGTGATCTTTTTTCAATGCCAAGAATTAAGAACAGGACTCTTAGGAGTGAAGTAAAAGCATATTGCTTATGCCACTTTTACCTAATACAAGGGTATTTAGGAAAAGTAACAAAAAATGGCTACTTATGCTGTATGTCACATTTATGTTGCTTTCCAGAACACCCTTTTCTATTCTCTATCCCCTGAAAACCAAAAGAGGGAATAACTGTGATATATAAATGCAAAATCTAGTTTTGCTATAACTTGGAAATATTGTATTCCTTGTCATTTTAAGAGGATTTTTTTTTAAAAAAATGCATAATTCTCTCCAGTAATTTGTGTGGATGAATACATAGGTTTAAAGTGGTTAAAATATACTTCACAAAAACAAAAGTTGCTCCCATTGAGGAGCTTTTGCTCCCAATATTTGTATCATTAGTTCCTACTTTTTTATCGTAGGAACAATATGCAGGTGTGATTTTGCTATTTTATACTGATGTATTTAAATTTTAGTACTGAATGGTAACTTTTTATAAATGTTTATGTTCCAAAGGCATTAAAATAAGGATGTATTAATAAGGAAAATACCTTTTCAAAACTTTGCAAGCTGCTCCAATATGCTGTGAGAATACTTTCTCAAAGTAGACTCTAGCTCTGCTGCATGATCGCTTCCTTTAGTTTCTATGAAACAGATTGCTAAAATATATCTCTAGTGGAATGATTTGTTCAATATTGCTTTCCAGCCTTTTAGCACCATCATTTTAAGGGGAAAACATATCAAAAGAAAATTGGAAATAGTACAAAATACTTTATGGTCCAAATGGCATAAAGCTAGTAGAAATTTCCTTCTTTTTTTGTACTAGAAAGGATAGAAAGGTTTTACCTCTTCAAATGAAACGTATCCTATAAGGAAATTAAACAACCGAAAGTGCTTTTCTGTAGATGTTGAATATGATCAACACCTTATGGCACATGCTGGCCTTCTTTGTCCATTTTTTCAATTCAAACTATTGTGTTTGTTACTGGGAAACATCATCAGACAACTGTTGGAAAAGTTTTACACTTATTTCAGAAGTGAGTTGAACTAGTTTTAACCTTTCAGTTTCTAACAGAGGCTTACCACTACATTAGTTACGGTGTTTGACAGGGATGGTATGTACAAAGCATGTTTCAGCAATGTTGTTTTCAGTGTTAGTTGCTGGTTAACTTGATTTTTTTAAAAACTAGTTTTTCCAGTACTCTTTATACATATGAAGACTCCATATTGTTATGGCAGTTCCTTCAGGATCAAAAATGGGATTGATTAAAGAGACAGGTGCACTTCAAATAAGTAGTAGGACCTCAGACAAGATATTGAACCTCATTCAGTTAGTACTTCATGTAGCTATACCTTGTGTGCAAGCCACTGAAGTAAAGTGTATGAATATATGGAAGCAGAATGACAGTGTAGGCGTTATTTACACATTAGTGCTTTATGACTATCATTTAGGCAGAAATTTTGTTGGCGATAAAAAATGTCAATCTTAAAGCCTATTTTGTAGTTACCAGGTTAATTCTTAAGAGTGAAGTGTGGTGTGTGCTGGCTGATCATACACCACACTTTGTACAACTTCTAAACTTCTGCTATGGATTTTAAAAATATTATATATATAATTTGCTTGTGTTTTATTAGTAGTGAATTGTGGAATAGAGTGATTTATTCATTTGGCAGTAGAGGTTTTCAAAAACCGTATACTGACTAAAACATGAGCCAGACCTGATTGCTTTATTAAGCTAATAATGAATGTTAAGAGTACATATTTTCAGGATCTTTTGCCTAGTGAGCTCTTTATGTATTGTAGGTTGGGTGTGTGTGTGTGTGTGTGTGTGTGTGTTTTGTTTGTGTGTATGTACGTATGTATGTGGGTGTGTAAGTATGGGTGTTTTAAACTAAAGCTCCGATCAACTTCTGTGTTACACATAATACAAGATATAGCACTTTCAAAAAGAAAACCTAAACCTTATAAAAGATAATTTCTTACAGGTTATGCTTTCTATTATAAAATCTTATATTATAATTTTTCAAGTGCCATTAGATGACATATGTGGGCCTTTGGTATAATGCTTTGGGTACAAAATGGTAAACATTTGTAACTTTTAACAGGTACATCTTAAAGTGTTTTTGTATCAATTTGCTATATTGCACAGAACCAGTGTGTCTTTTTAAAGGGTTTTACAGTGGATTTCTTGGTTTACATGTTTCAAACTATGCCGTCTTCTACTGCCATTTAATAGCAGTCCAAAATTGAGTGGTCAACATTAGTTAAGTGTATACTCAAATCTTGGAGGTTGCAGTCATGTGCCCACTAATACTAGGTAAGTCCCACACATTTCAGTGGGAATTACATGTGTGAAAATAGGCACAGGAGTTCAGCCTTACATCTCAGTCCTATGTATGTTTACCTGGAAGATCCACTAAATTCAATGGAATTTACTTCCAAATAAATACACATAGGATTGCAACTTTCAGAATGTTTAATAAGCAGTGTTCTAAAGATATGATGTCCTACCATAGCTATGCTGCTGTTGAAATTCAAATAGGGTTGATCCTGTGCCTGTATAAAGAGAAGGATTAAGCTCTTAAGTATTTGTCTCATACACTGGTTTAGCAGCTTAAAATGACGTGCCTCTTAGTAATAAAAACTTATACATTATTTGCTATGGAGTACATCATGTAGGTTCAGTTGCCTGTCTGCATCCTGTCAGTATATAGTGAAAACAGCCATCTATTTGACATTAAAGGAAGACCATTTAAAGTGATGCCATGGTAATTAAAATATATTTTAGTCCCTTAATCCCTATAAGGGTGGTGGTGTGTTGAAAGTCCATGTCTTTTGAAAAGTATTTAACCCTAAAAATGACACAGATTATTGCTAAATGCATGTATATACTTTTCAGTATAAGCTTCAGTGGTACAGTTGAACCAGAATGAATGTTTATCTTCTCAGAAACACTCCTGCAAATATAGTGGATCATGCTGCTAATATAACTTGGGATACAACTCCTCTCATGGTGCTACAGACCTCCCTGTCTCATTTAGACTGATGTATTTTTATCCATAGAGAAAGGCCTATACTAGATTTATAGATGTATGATATATTTTTATACTGTGACTTAATTTGTCATTAATGATTTTTGTACACCACCATGTTTTCATATGCACTTGCAAAAGGAGAAACTTGGACATGCAAATTATACCCAGATAAGCCTATTCTCAAAACTAGAAGATGACAATTGAAAGGGGGCTTTTGATATGGTGTGAAGTGAAGAACATACTTATTTCTAAGACCCCTTTGAATATTGACAAACTGGGAAACAATATAAAAAGGATGACACCTGAACCTGAGTTGGATTGCTGAAATTATATTTTTAGATAGTGAGCAATGTTTGGACTTGTGTGCTAAAATGTTTTAATGATACAGATTTTGAGTCAAAATAGAAATGCATTCCAGACTGAATTTGTGTATTTCATTTAAAATTACTATCCTGTGATATGGGAAATTGCGTTGCTTATCATGTATATGTACTTTAAAATGTATTCACAAACTACTGTTGTACTTGTATAAAATATAGACAAAAGATTGCATATATATTTTTGTGTATAAGCTCTGTAAAATAGCTATCACATTATGAAGCTGCAGCAAAATTTCATTTTAGACATTCATATCCAAAGAAACAGACTATTTATTGTCCACATACCCTGATAAAAAATATAACTTGCTGCTATTAAACAATAGTGCTGCAGCTTCTTGTGGCCTACAGTGTTATGTTTGCTGTACAAAAATATGTGAACTACACAAAATATCAATAAAACTACAGAATGGTTTTAGTTATGTACAAAAGATGCCTGGTCTTAAATAATTTGTGTACACATGCATGTATGATTGTGCACAAGGCTACAATTTAGGTGTCAGCTGCTAACAACTAATCTGATTTGCAGAAAGTAAATTGACAACTATCTGGGGGAAAAGATGAGTAATTCATGATTTGGCCAACTCACCAATCCTAAAAATGACTACTGGATTATTGCCACATTCCAGATGTAGGCAGTAACAGGAATTGTATAAGAAGATGGTAGATTTGAGTTGTAAACACAGAAGTATTCATGTTCTAAATCAGGGATGGGCAATTTGTGGATAGTCCAGATATTGTTGGACTAAAATTCCTATCAGCTATATCCAGTTCTTTTTAATACCATATTAGAATCATGCTGAGCACATTAATCTCTGGAGCTGTAACAAAAGTTACATTTCCATAGAAGCAAAAAAGTGTATGGGTCCTAACACTAAGAGTCAGAAGATATAGTGTGGTCAGAAAAAGAATGGAAAACGGTGTTGGGAAATATGGGAGGATTATGAGTGGAAGATAGTGGTATCTGGATGCCTCATAAAATTCTGTGAATGAAAATGGGCAGTGGTAGACAATGCCCTGCCTGCAATCAGCAAAATTCAGACCTGTTCTTGTCTCTTGCCCAAGCATCTTACTTCAGAGTAAAGAATACCACCATTTTTTGTTACACGGATGCTTACAGATCCTGTAAGTTAGGCATTCTGGGAGAGAATGTTATCAAATGACATTCAGATCTGCATCCTCTTTTTACTGACACTACTTTGAGATACCAGCACAAGGTACCAGAAAACATCTGATGTAGTGGATAAAGAATTCTGTCAAAGTTTATTGCTTACAATCCCTGGAGCTTTTCACTTGCTTTTGGCATCACCAGAACAGAAATGTCTCTAACTCTCATTCACTGTTGTAGTGCATGCAAAAGAATGAAAGACCACCAAGAAGACACTTTTCTTACTTTGCAGTGGAAGTTGAAGAAAATAGGAAGCAAATAGGATGCAGAATAGGAAGAAAATAGGAGTTTGTCAATCTTCAAGCCCTATAAATTATCTCCTGCCTGAGGTCTATCCTTAGCCATCAGTTCACTGGATGTGGTAAAGAAGAAATTTTTGATGTGAGGTTATCACATTTGTGGGGTACTAAAGGTCTATGTTTTTCACAATCAGTAAAAAGGTACTGAAATACTAGAAATCAAAGTTATTTAAATGATTCATTTCAAAACTTATTTAATCAAATGATGGCATTTGCACCAGACAAAAAGACAAGGTTGCCCCCTTGTGTAGACAGGCTGTATTATACTCTGTTAAGTACACATGAACAAAGTCATATGGTGAGTTACGGTAAATACAATAATGTTTAATCTGTTTAACCAACAGGACTTCTAGTGAGCTATATTGGCCAATGTTAGCCAGAGCGTTTTGAATGCCATATGCATGTGCATAACTATTCCAATGTTTATTACAATGGTGGCATTTTACATGAAAGGTATTAATTCTGGGTTCTCAACATTTATTGGCACCAATAACTATGAAGTGTCTACTCTTTAAAAGCCATCTTTCACATAAATCCACAGCAGTTATCTAGTGTATTTTGCTGCTATCAATAAAGTTTTGAATTAAATCTAGATCCTAGGTATTTTGTTAAATGTATATCCTAACGTGCACTTTTACTATATCATTTAACGGCTGGATCACAGTCTGGAAGCAAATATCCAGTCACTTTTATTCTAAAACAAACATAATTTATTTGTAAAATCATTTATATCCCTTCAGCTATAATAATGGCACCTAAGTCAACTTATAATTATATAAAAATCAAAATACAAAGAAGGAGCTTTGGGGAAAAGAACCTATCAGTTCTAAAGGAGAAGGCAAAATCCAAATACATACTACCACAATTTTATTTCTTTTGTTCTTTTTTTCTTTCCTTTCTTATTTTAGCCAAAAAGAGAACACCAAAACAGCCTCTCTTCAAAACGTGCATGCTGTGCAACTGGCAGTTCCCTGTCCTGTCTTTCCACTAACCAGAAGGCAACAGAATGTGGAACAAGCCCTTAAATGATTAATATAACTAGTGAACAGGTTCATATGGCATGAATCAATCCTTTAAATATCCCAAAATATAACCATTTATGATTTTTTAAAAAATGATAATTATTTTGATTGTCTGGAAACCAGCTAAGGAAAATTAAACAAACTGAAATAATATGTGCCAAAAAGTGAGACCTGAGGACAACTCTGGTAACTCCATTTTGCTCCAGCTGTGCCTTCTGAACGTTTTGCAAAGACAGCCCTTTATAGAGTGCATTATAGTAAGTTAATGATACGACCAGAGCAGGCATAATGCTTTGTCCAGGAAGGAATATAGTGCATTGGCCAAAACTGCATTATGTACTTCTGGCCAAATTTATTAATTTGCCATCTAGAAGCAATAATGGATTAATGAATATGAAACATTGCAAAAATGATTTTTAAGGGGAGTGCAACCTTGACCTGTACAGAATGTGTGCATAATCCTAAAGTAACTTTCCTAACTTGTCTAGCTAACAAATGGGACCTCTTGCTTACCTTGCTACCACTATAGGCATTAGATATAAAAGAGAATACTGCATGTTAACAATATATTGATAGCACACAAACATGAATCTTTGATGAAACCCACCCCCACTGATTATGGGAGGGGGAATGGAATCCTGAAGGAACCCATGAGCCATAGATTTTGCACTGCAAAATTAATTGTTTTGCACAACAACTGCTGGAATCACTAACCATTGATCATGCTGGCTGGGGCTTATAGGAACTGTAATCTGAAACTTCAGGTGAGCACTGGGTTGCATATCCTTATGGGCCAAGGAGTCAAAGATCTCATGCATCATTTTTTCAGATCTATCTGTGGTACTGGATGATCACGAAACAGTGCCTCCACCCCTTCTGATCTGTCAAATAGAAGAGTTCTCACAAAGCAGAGCCCTAAGTGCCATCTAAGAAAATGAGTCCTGCCCCAGAATTTAAAAGATCTAAATTATATAAATGTAGAATAATTCTTAATGATTCTTAACATGTGTAACCACATCAGATATGCATGTAAATTCTTTCTGTATCAGAACCTTTCCACTGTGCTCAAATTCAAGCTCAGTAATATTTTCTTTCCATCTGGACATAATAAGCTTACATAGCTGGGCATCTTCAAAATATACTATTTCTCTAGTTAAGTTTCATTTCATTTCCTGTCTAATATAAATGATTTAGTAGAATCAATTTCAACAAACATTTAATAAGGTGCTGAGATTTTTCCTTTCTAGCCTACATTGGATAAAATGTTTCTCAAATGTTATCAGCAGAACCAACCAACTTTAATTCAATTCTAATTGAATTAAATGGAAATGTTTCTAATTCTATGTTTCCACTTTCTCATTTGCAAAATTTAAATCAGAGCCTATGTACGTCCCAAAATTAACAATAGCAAAATTTGTATAAGTAATTGATTTCTTTCATAAATCCATTAATTTAATTGGCACCTATATGTGCCTCCTTCACAAATCCTTTGAACTATCTTTTTTTTTTTTTTTTTTTGAAGTATAAAAATTCTGCCAAGGGTGAAAGAAAATTCACCTATATCCTGTTTCTTTCGTGGACTTTATTCCATCTGAGACACCCAAGTAACCTAAATATATGTTAGAATGTTCTATAAAATATGTTAAAAGTATTGCATTTAGTACAATTCACCATGTAATATCCTTCATAGGTGCTCAGGAATGTTAACAAACAGCCTAATACAATGTTCTTACACAGAGGGCATGGATCCTATTGAGTTGGGCAATAACATAGATGAAACACTTCAATCACCCAAAAGCACCATATTGGTGCTTAACTTTGGTCTGTTTTCAAGATATGTGCTACCCAATGCTAAACCTTTACTCAGAATCAAGTACCCATAAGTTGGGGAGAAGATGACATTTTCCCCAAGTGTGCAGCTGAGGTTTGTTAAGTCATGAAGTAAGGACACAGTCCAAACCCTCCAATGCAGATGTATATAAGCCTCTAAATTTGGAGGCTTATGCGCAGCCAATGCAAAGAGAAATGTGCACCAGCATTAATCACTGCCGCAGCACATCAGACCATGTGCTTTATCTAGACAGCTGTTTTTAACTGTCTAGATCAGCCTTTCTCAATCTTTTTACCTTGGAGAAATATGGAAGTAATATTCATGTCTCAGGCAACTCCTGCATAAAATATAAATTCTTATTACCCCCTCTATCCATGCTGTCAGAAGTACCATGGAATTTATTTTTATTTATATTGTTGTTGTTACTATTTATTTTATTAATATGACATACATCCTGCCAGAATTTCCATAGGAACAGCTTCACAGATTAAAAGGGAAAAGGCCCCTGTAGTTCAGTCTGATCTGCCTATGGAAACGGTCCACCAGCTGCAGTCTCCTCCTCTTCTTTTTCCCAGCACCACACCCCCAAGATAGACTGCCTCTGGCCGTGGAGGTGTCTCCAGTGACCCACCACTTCCTTCTTCCACTGCTCACCACCTGGGGCCTGTTTCTCACCCCTTTACCTCCATGGTCATGGACCATCTGTAAATCTCAGATGATGTGTGTGACAAAAGGAGTATGTGAAATAAAGGCAGTTGCTGGTTTTTTAATGCCAGGCACACAGAATTGCTGCTGCATCACTTCCAAAAAGTGTGAGGCAGTCACACTTCTCTGCCTGGCCCCTTTCCTCACGAAAGTCTCCCTGAGCCCCATCCCATCTCATAGACAACTGGGGTGAGCAGACGGGTTGCAATAACATCTGCAATAACATGCTTCACATCTAACATCTGTGTGAGTTTACATTATAAAAACACACATGTTCTCTCTCTTCCCCCGCCCTGACCCCATCTCTGTCTCTCACAGAGTCCCCAGTGATCTTTTGCAGAATGTACTCATCTGACTTTTTTCAGCAGTTTTTCTTCAGCACCCTGCACCTTAACAAAGCATGTTAAAGGTAGAAATAATTATGGTTATAGCAAATTCTACTCTATAGAGTGAACATTGAAGTATCTATAGCATATGTAAATATGTTCTATAAAGAGTCATACGTTGGTTCTACCTCTCAACTAATGCTGCAATCATGCACAGTCCCACTGACTTAGCATATGTCATATTAGACTCACTGGGTCTTATTTCCAGGAGGGGACTGGACTGGATCACACTTATGTAACCAAAAAAATAAAAAAGGCAAACCGCACACTGTCCTATATTTGATTCTACATCTGTGGTCTATTGTTGCCACAGACCTGACAGTGCCGCTAATGCATCCAATGCAAATAACAAGCATATGTATATCAGTCTTTGTAGTAGGTATTTTCCACATTTTAACCATGCACCCATCAAGGATTGTGAAGAATTCAACTGAATATTTTCATAAAACAACACTACAGGGTATATCAGTACTACTAGACCTGATAACTGTATTTGACTTCTGGTATCAGATGGCGGTATGCCTGTGTGCGCCAGCTGCTGGGGAACTTGGCAGGAGCGTGCTGTTTCATTCATGTCCTGCTTATGGGTTTCCTGTGAACAGCTGGTTGGCCCCTCTGTGAACAGAATGCCTAACTAAATGGCCCCATGGTCTGATCAGCATGCTTCTTCTTATGCCTTTCTCTAACCATGCTAGTGTAAGGGGCAATTCTTAGAGATCCTCCTTTGCCCCTCAGCTTCCCCTCTGGTGCCCTCCTTTCTAGCTCCTTAGGAGTGGATTTTCAGCTGCCCTGATGGCTGCCAGGGGGAGGGCAGGACAATCAACTCAGCCTCAAGGAACTATCTTCTGCCTGTGCAGTGCTGGACACAACTCTTCACATGGAACATCAGTAAAAGCTTATGTGCTCCTTATCAGAAAACACATACTTTAAGAACAGCCTAGACTATTCATGCAGTTTGGCATTTATAAGGGTGGTGCTTTAGGGTGACTGTTTCATAATGATTAGGTTTTCTCAACACAACAAACTATGGAGGATGAAAAGCCTGTGAATTCAGACTACTTCCTGCAGGGTGCCTTCTCTGAGGGCAACAATCCATCCTGACAACCCAAAACTTGTTCTAGGGCTAGCGATATCCACAATGGGTTGTCATGTCAACTAATTCTACTGTGGATACCAGGAATTGGTGAGAAACCTTTTGGCAGGAATGGAAAAAGCCCTTGCCACTCTTGCCAAGCACTCCCAGTGCCTGTGCCAGCCACCCCACAAGTGTCCAAGCAGCACTTCGGGGAGACCAGCACTGGCTCCATATTACCTATCATGATCACCACCCCCTATGATTCACTGTGGCTTTTTCTGCCCCTTCACTGTTTTTGTGTGTTCGTTTTGGTATTACAAAAATTGATTTGCTAGTGACAGACCCCTCAAAAAATCCAAGCTGCACACGGAGGCGTCACTACTGGTTTGTCACCCCTTTAAAAAGTGACCCAAATACAAGCAAATGCTTTCACTTTTCCAGTTTATTTTAAAGTTTTAGTTTTACTTAGCTTAGCTGTACATTTTGCGGGGTCTGAAATGTACTAATGCATTTACTATACAGTTGCTGTTTGTGTATGTGTAGATGTCACAGATGAAAGTTAATTCCAGTAATAAATTGAGCAGGTAAATGCAAGTAAACATTGTTTTTTATTGATTTCATAAGGACTACTCAGAATAATGTCTGGATAACAATCTTAAAGTAGCCTTTTCTATGTATGTTTTATAAAATGGGATGATTCCTGTTGTTCAGAGCTACATAACTTTGTAGGGTTACTACTGTCTCCTAATAAAATGCTTCTGTCTTTACCCTGTTTGGACAAGAGCAGAATTTCAACAGTTGTACCTATTCTGTTAATGGGAATAGAGTGACTGTTGAATTTCTGCCTGTTCTGCAGTATCTGTTAAGCAAATGAAAAGCCATACCAGAAGCAGATAGCCCATGTTTTTATTTGGATTCAACCAAGAAAAGGAACATAAAAGACCAGATTATCATATGGGTTAAGATAAAGCTGAAATCCTAAGGATTGTCCCCAAGAATATTTATTGGGAGTAATTCCTGTTGAAGACAGTGGAACATATTTCTAAGTAACTGCTTCAGGTTTGTGCTGTAAGTGTGCTTAGGATTAGGACTGTAATACTCTTTAAGAGTAAAGTAACCCTTTAAGAACAAAGTAACTAGGGAGTAATTATTAAATTGATTGTCATCTGAAACTGATTGGAATTTGTCCTCTGAAATCACACATCATTAATGGGAACAGAAAGGGAAGATGGATGCAAAGGAAGAGCTGATTCAAGAAAGATTGTTTAATCCTGCTACATTTACCTTTAGAAGAAGGCCTATATTTTCTCCTTTTTATTCCTTATCCTTAGATGTTATTCCTTATACCTAGATAATTATGCCATCCCCTCTTCGTCGTGTTCTTCATCTGGAAATTTCTTCATCTGTGAGTACACGACCCTGCAGTAGTCCTATGGTGTTTCCTGCCAAAGGTGAAAAGCTCTTTTGGGGGGAAGACTCTTCTCACAGGGCCCATCGGCTACCTCCTCGTCTAGCTTGGTGTACTATAGACTGGGATCAGTTGTGTCTTTTGCATCCTCTAGGCTCTGGTGGGTTTGGTTCTGTCTACAAGGCTATTTACCATGGAGCTACAGTGGCTGTAAAGCAGGTGAAGAAATGCAGTAAGAATCGCTTGGCATCAAGGCAGAGCTTCTGGGCAGAACTAAATGTGATGCACCTTGACCATAACAATGTGGTACGTATAGTTGCTGCCAGTACATGTGCCCCTGCCAATCAGGATAGTTTGGGCACCATAATAATGGAATATGTAGGTAACAGAACTTTGCACCATGTTATCTATGGGACTGGCAATATGACAGCAAAAAGTAAGGATGATGGGCCTGGAGATGGCCATGTGTGTTTGAGCACAACTCAGGCTCTGGGCTATGCCTGTGACATCATGGCAGGATTAGTCTTCCTCCATTCACACTTGATTGTGCATCTGGATTTAAAACCTGCTAACATATTCATCACAGAACAAAATGTTTGCAAGATTGGAGACTTTGGATGCTCCCAAAAGCTAGAAGATGATGCATCATCAATCCCACAACGTTGTCACCAAGGGGGGACATACACCCACCGTGCTCCTGAACTTCTTAAAGGTGAGCGAGTTACCTCCAAGGCAGATATCTATGCTTTTGCTATTACCCTCTGGCAAATGGTTACACAGCAAGAGCCTTATTTGGGTGAGCGCCAATATGTACTGTACTCTGTGGTAGCTTATAACCTGCGCCCATCATTGACTGCAGCTGTATTTAGAGAACCAGCCATTGGCCAACAGCTTGAGACCATAATTGGAAGCTGCTGGAGAGCTGATGTAGCAGAACGTCCTAGTGCAGAGCTTCTCCTCCACAATCTTCATTCTCTATCCCTCAGTGTCTAAAAAAACTGTTTTGTCTCTCCAGTTTTATTGCTGATTATCTCCTTACTTGTTTAATCAATGTATGTCTCTAAACCTCCTCCTGTTCAAAATAAGCTTTAAAAAACATTACTGGTTATCAAATAAAGTTCATTACAGAAAATTGGGGGGTTTCAGAGTTCTTCTCACAAGAAAACTAATAGTGTTCAGTCTCTTATTTTGTCAATCCTAAAAAATAAAAAAATAAAAAGGTTGGAGAGCTGTAAGCCAAAAATTGCCAAGCATCTGTGATCTAGCCTGCAGTAGTAGGCACACTTCAGGTGGAAATTAACCCTATTGAAGACCATGCAGCTGCTTGGTAAAAATACACAGGCTATGGGATCTTGGCTACAATTTAACATAGCAAAAAACAAGTTTGCTCTTTTCTTCTCTTTGAAAATGGTGGTATTTTGTTATGTGTAATTTGAGCTAGAAATATATCAAATTCCACACTTTTTCTTGTTGTGAGCTAAGGATTTTAACAACAGGAACAGAGGCATAAATACTGTGTGAAATGATCCATAATTGTATAACTACCTCCAGCTTTGTTAGCCCCTCTGGCTATCACCGGGTGATCCAATGTAATCCTAAGTGTGTCTACTTAGAAGTAAACCCTACTGATCTCAATATGGTTTTCTCATGAATAAAAAGGCATAGGATTGCAGCCTTAATAGAAAATGGTATAAGCAAATACCACTGTTTCACGGATGTTACTTCCAGGTCATAAAATTTGTTTGTTTTAACATTTATCTGGAGAGATTTATTTCATAAACTAATGAATAATGAAGTATTATTCCCCTAGTTCCACCTTCTCCAACCTGGTAATCTCCAGAGGCATTTAGACTGCAACTCCCAGAATTCCCATCCAGCAGGACTACTGCTTGGGATTCTGGAAGTTGCAGTTCCAACAGGTCTGGAAGGCACAAAGTTGGGGAAGGCTGCCCCAGTTCTTATTTGAAAGAAACAAGCAAGAGTCCATATTTCCGTATTTTCTGCCACAATTTGAATTATAAACACTTCAAATATATTTCAAAAAAGATAATTTTTCTAGGGGTTTATTAATCATATCTCACTGCACACAACAAAGCTTACTTTAAAAGAAATATGCATTGAATTGCTCTGACATGCTGCACCCCTGTGAGCACTTACAAGCCAAGTCATGATAAACTTAATGAAACTGACTTTTCTGCAGATACAGAGAAATAAGATTTAGATTGTACACAATTTTACCAATAAAATTGTTTCTAATAACAAATTATCTTGTGGTTTTTAGTAGATATTTGTATTTAACATAACAGTCCAAGCAGCCTTCAAACCAAATGTGTACTTTGTTGTTTGAAAATATGCATTCTTGATACTGTGTTTTATGGACAGGACACTAAAGGATCCTTTGCACTTCTAACTATAAAATGCCAGTATATAAATTGGTATTACCAAATCTATAAATTCAGATTAGAGAAATGTCTATCTAGTACTCTCTTGTTTAACTTAGCTTTTGCTGACCAGACTGTTAATATAGTCTGCAATGTAAATAACTTGGGCAGCTAAGGACATGCAAAACATTAACTTTTAAAAGCTATGATGCATAAAGGTTTGGCTATGCATTCATGCATGTGCTTTTGATATTTGCAGTATGGCATGCCTGATGGGTAATGAGATAATGGTGAAACTTAAGATATAATCCTTACTATTATGCTGGCACAGTCCCTCAGATGACCTGAAAACACAAGTGATTGGTTTGGTTTGTTTGTTTTTTAGATGAGGAGATACAACTGACATCCAGTAGAAATAATTTTCTTTATAGATATTGTATATTTTATGCCACACTGTTCTTCCTATATTTTACCCTACTGCTTAATTTAAAAAAATACTTTTCACTCGGGTTGTGTTTTTCTTACATACCAGCATATCCTCTTATTCTGCTTTTCATATTCATGTTTTTGTATTCTCTTTAAAACTGCATGCCACTGCATCTCCATCTCAGTTACAAACACAGTTCAGAAAGGTTCTCAGGTATTCTCGGAGTGAACAGAATAGACTTCAGCTTCAGTGCAAAAGATCATCCTGTTTTCCCCATTCTCCTTAAGCATTTCAAACTGCTTTTAGAATTCTCTACACTGACAGTTGCCACATGCTGCTGCTTTGGAAGGTGGGGATAATCATGCTGCTTTCTCTATTATGGCTATGGTGTTTGTTCTTATGAATATGTTTTGGCTTAAATTACATAAACTTGTATAATGAAATGCTTTAGGAACACAGCTGGGAGCAACTGCAATGCCCATTCTTGTATTAAGAAAAGCCTGCTTCCAAGAGAATCAGATTTCACCGACCAGCTGTTTTATTTTTTGCAAGCTTAAGATATACATACTTTTTAAATAGTTCTCACAACTTTCTATTTAAACAATAATTCAAAATAAACATAGAATTTAAAAAATTACTGATTTTGTGCCTAATACTTTCCATGTTTGGCTAACAGAACATGACTTTCTTATATCTAAAATTTTTGCCACCATATTATGCAGAGAAATTTTGAAAAATACAATAGCTGGCATCTGGAAATGCACTAGACAGATACAAATATTGAGTTCAAAATCACAACCCACTCTGGCAGTAAGTCATTATAATCTGCAAAATAGCCAAATGAGGCTGGCAGATGATCTGGGGCACTGTATTTACTCGTAGTTCCCCTCCTCCTTCCAATCCATGTTGCACAGAAAGGACTCTTATCCTGAAGCACCACAGCATCTGCTTCCAGTCTCAGTGATGGCAAAGTGTAGGAGATGCCCTGGAAATTGCCCCAGCTGTGGCTGGAATCTGACTCCATCACACTTCAGGACACAAGCCCTGTCTGTGCAATGGTGACAAATAATAATAATAAAATCTTTGTTCCCATAATGCAAACAGGCTTATGCCCTAAAGTGTAACAGAGAAGATCGTGAAGCTAATCAGTCATTCTCACCTCCTGCTCCAGGGAAGGTATGTGGAGGGAGATCCTGAATCATTTTGCACTGCTCCCCTGTTCTTGGGGCAGCACCAAAGAACAGAGCCCTGCCCAAGGGAAAGTCTCAAGGGAAAATGTGGGAATGCCCAAACTACTCCATGGTGTTGTCCTGAATATGAGGCACTGTCTCCTGGCTCCTCCCAAGAACTGTGCAAGGTACACTTACAAGCAGGGGGTGAGAGATTTGAAGTTAGGGGACTATAAATCAGTTCCTTTGCCATCCCTGCCTGTTGAGAGTGTTAACTTTTCACCTCTGCAAGGATGGAGGACCTATTAAGATGGACCATCACCAGAGGCTAATGAATGCAGATGGTTTTAGGGGGGTTCTTGGGGATTTTCTGGTAGATATGACTGGTGGCTCCATTAAATCCCTGTTTAGTCTTTGGATCTCAAAGATGACCCAGGTGGTGAACATGATCACTCCCAAGAGCCCTCTCTCCAGTAGAGCTGATATGGCTCCATGATATACTCTGGAGATCAGAACAATGAAACAAAACTGGAGACAGCTTATTTATTTAGAATATTTTTATCCTGTCCTATACAATCCAATTGTCCCAGGACAGCTTACAATATAAATAGCAATAAATAGCTTGCATACAGATGGAGAAAAATTCCTGGTGGATGCATCAAGCTGTTCCCCACTACAAGCTGAGCCACTACTCAAGGCCTGGCATGTGCCAAAGAATCTACAGGCACTATTTTGGAGACCCCAGACTTAGTTCCTAATAGATATCAATCCTACCAATTATCTTCACCCATAATCCAAATTCCCTAGTATCTTCTTATATCAATAATTATCAGTTCCATTTACAGTGGAAAAGTAAGCAATGTATATACTTGACAGCTTCTATGTCTTAAATAAGAGAATCCATACAAGATTATGCCACAACAGAACTGTTAGTCTTAGAGCAAACAAAAAGCTTGTGGCACTTTATACCAAATTTCACCAACCTAGTACCCAGCGTATGTTTAGGTAAACAACTCATGGATTTCCAAGCCATTAAACACACTGGCTGAGGTTGATGGGGACTGAAGTCCAAAACACTGGGATGTTACTCTATAATCTTACCCAATCTCTGCTTTATTAAAAATTGAGAATAGGAAATGGAATAACTGTATGAATTTCAACTTATCTGTAAAACTTGTGTTTTTAAAATGTACCACTCCTTTTAAAAGCATAATCCATTAGAGAAAAAATAAGGATATTTATCCCATAAAAAGTTATTTTGAAAGTCCTAATAAACAGGCACCTAGGGATGGTGTAATTGAAGTGATATGCCACTAGATGGCCAATGATATAAATATGTAATAGAGAAATCTACATATTATATTTACATGACTTTAAAATGATTGAAACATGTATCTTAACTACTTACTAAATTCTGAAACAAAGCCCACTGAGTTCAGTGGAACTTACTCCCAGGTTAAATGTATTTATTTAGTTATTTCATTCAATTTTTATGCTATCCCATAACTCAAAGGCTTAAAATATACTGTCTAGGTGCTAAATAGCCCACTTTTAATTAGGGAGGATTAATTTTAAACAGTGGGCCTGTGATTTAAAGGCACAGATATTTATTTTCTGAGGTTATATTGTTTTGAAGTTGGGAATGAAAATATTAGAGATTCTTTCATTCTAATTGATAGTAATTTTTTTAAACTTAACTTTAAAAGATGTATGTATCAATCTGTTGACAATGCCAGTAGAAAGTTCTCCAGAATGATCCAAATATTCCCTATTAGTGTAAAATTTCTTTAGGAATATGTAGTGAAATAATATTTTATTGGATTATACCGACCAATTCATTTTTATATTAAAATTTGATATCTACCATTAGCTGCCTAAGACACCTTCAGGTAGAAATAAAATGAAAACTGGTTGTTCTGCGTAGACAGTACAGCAACTATACATGTAGTCAAACTAAAGTCATCAGCCATTGGTTGCTCCAGTTAAATACATATATTCCCCAATGATTCTTTGTTGATGTAAATCAAACGAAAAGCTCTCCCAAAGCGAAATGATTTTCTTTTGGACTTTGATACCTTCATGAAATAAGCCAGGCTGCACTGTTCATCTGTGAGCCAGTGTATACTGGTTAAGAGCATGGGACTGGGAATCAGGTGATCTGGATTCTAGTCCCCACTTGGTCATGAAGCCAACTGGGTGAATTTGGGCCAGCCACAGACTCTCAGACCAACCTACCTCACAGGGTTGTTGTTGTGGGGATAAGACTGAGAAGAGCAGGAAGAGAATTATGTAAGCTGCTTCATGTTCTTTAAAAAAAAGAAAGAAAAAAGGTGGGATATAGATCTAATAAATAAATCAGTGAAACTTCTTGTAGGAAGGTACAAGAAGCCCTCCTTTTGGTGCTGGGTCTTTTTTCCCTTGATTGTGGTCTGTGGGTGTTTTAGGTTAAAGCAAGCATATAAACAAACAGTTCATAGTATTGTGTAGTTTACCTTGGCTTCCTTACTGACCTAATTAGGTAATTACATTTAAAAGATTTATAGGAGCAGTATGAAGCTAAATGAGGCTGCAACCTGATACATTCAGGTCCCAAACTGAGGCAGCAATAATATGTAAACATATCTGGGAATCCCACTGAACTGCGAGGATTACTTTGAACTTTTATCCGTTTAAGCTGATACACCAACCATAATCCTACCCGGACAGAGAGCTCCTAGCTACAGTTATCCATGCTCTGGTAGCTTCTCATTTGGATTATTGCAATATGCTGTATGTGAGCCTGCCTCTGAAAATGGTCCAGAAACGTCAGCTAATCCAAAACAGGGCAGAAAGATTGTTAATGGGACATAAAAACACATCACACCAGTCCTCTTCCAGCTACAATGGCTGTGGATTGAAGTCCAGGCCTGTTCAAAGTGCTAGCGCTAATGTTCAAAGTTCTAAACAGTTTGGGAACAGGTTATCTCTACAAGTATTTGAAAGGCTGTTGCAAAAAGGAAGGACAGGATCTCTTCTCTATTATCCCAGAGTACAGGACACAAAATAACAGGGTCAGGTTACAGGAAGTGGTGATGGCCACCAATCCAGATAACTTTAAAAAAAGGATTGGCCAGATTCATGGAGGAGGCGGCTATCAGTGCTTATTAGCTTTCCTGGCTATGTGTTACCTCCTTTACCAGAGCTGGCATGCCTGCATGCACCAGACGTAGAGGAGCTTGAGCAGGAGGAGGTCTTGCACCTTTCCTGCTTGAGGGATCCTTTTGACAGCTGGCTTGCCACCACAAAGAGGTCCGCCTGGCTCCGTCGTTACTGGTTTTTCGGCGCCAGGTAAAGACCTTTTTATTTAA